ATTTTTTAATAAAAATGTTGTTTTTTTAACAACATGAAACTGTAAAAAAATATTTTCAAAAACATTGATACTTTTTGAAATAATGAGTGTTCAATGATAAAAGAATCACCCGGTATATATATATATATATATATATATATATTTATATATATATAGTATATAGGTATACACTATACAGTGGTTGAATTGGGAGAGGACGCAAGGGAACTGAGCTACTCTTCATTTTTCTTCGACTTATAGCGAACCCCTTTATTATATTCATCAAGGAATAGGGTTATCTACCATTAAATTAATTTGCTTAATTGTTCAACTTCATTTAGAGTCCACCATTATTATATTTCCAATTCAACTACTGACACTATAAAGGGGGTTTCTAATATGGATGAAGCCACTATAGTGCATAATTTCACAAATTGTAGGTTGCGTTACATTTTTAAATAATACATTTTTTAGACATGTGTTTCTAAAACTTTTCGTTGATTTTTTAATTATGTTTTATTTTAAACCGTTATCTGCGTTTGAACAGTTACAAATTAACTGCGACCATGTCAAATCGATGCAATCAGATTAATAGTTATTGAAAAGACATAAATTTATATGAATCAAATTAGTACCTGCATGACGTTCAAACCAATTGATTATTGTCAGCACAACAAATATTATTTATCATGATTTTCAGTAACACAGTCAGTGTTGAGCAAAGATAATTAAATATTTATCTAGATAAAGATAAAGATAATTGAGTTTAATTTCATCTAGATAAAGATAATATTTCAGTAAAATAAAAAGATTAAGATAAAAGATAAGGCAATTTATCTAGATAACAGGGCTGCAACTCTGTTACTTTTTTGGGTTCGGTTACTTTTTGTCACTATATTTCTAAAACTGTCACTATTCTCACTTTTCTCACTTATAGCCATTTATTATAATGTTTCATAACAGAAACTGAAAATACTTTTAATCATGTAATTTTTAAAATTCTGTTAATTTAATGATGTTTTTTTTTAATGTTATGGCATTATAGTATGTTGTAATCACTAATCTTCAATCATTTATTTAAATGTTTATAGTTTTTAATTTGTTATTAATGTTTTAAGTTTTTAAATTGTTAAAATGTTTTATTTCAATTTGTTAAGTATAATTAAATGTTGTTGTTATTTGTTACTGGTGTTGGTGTATCAAAATATTAAATCGTTTTTATTCAACCATGGGTAAATGTACTGTGCAAGCTATGTGGATCTTAAAAAAGGACTCGTGTAATAATACGATTTTAACGTGGGAGCATAAGTATTCTATAACCCAAGTGTTTTGCATTGCTTGTGCTAATATAATAAGCTGTGAATTAAAAGGATTT